GAGAGAGAGAGAGAGAATGTATATGGGCCAGTGACAAGACGCTTGAAGGAGCAAACCGATAGCAGGTAAAAATAAAAAATAGTAAAAACTTTTGAACTTTTAAAAGTGAGAGAGAGTGTGTGTTATTTCTACCCTTAGAAATATGGGTATAAACGAATTATCGATTTTTTAATTCCTCGAAAATTTTTATACATTTTTCATTTTTTCCCTTGTTCTCTTCAATCGAAGCATTATTTTTTGGCCGAATCGTCCGCATCTGATCGAAGTGACCAACGTGGGTTGAATCCAACCGAATTGACCGAAGCGGGCGGAATCCAACCGAAGAAGCTGGTTGTTTCTCTGTTTCGCAATGGTTTAGAGTGAAAAGCAGAAGGCTTCGGTCTCTTCAGAAGCGGAGTGAATTTAGCAACATTGGTTGAAAGATTTGGTGTTTGACATTTGGGTCATGGTCTCAACCGTCCAATATTTATTGAATATTTGATAAGGCTGCATCTTTTGCTGTTATAGCAATTGTGTAATAAGAATAATGATAATGATCTAGAAAGATAAGATCTTGATAAAGATTAACATGATATATTGTAATCTCTTTATATGGTAATCTTTTTCATATCTGTACAGATTTGTTGTAATCACATCTTTGATTGAGTCAATCAACGATGAGTACATAACTATTATAAATAGAACCTACATCCCTCTCTATGGGGTGCAGAGAATTCTACACAAATATCGTGCTCTAAATTTCTTCATGCTATCATAGCCATTCCTCAATACTTTTACAAGTCTCTATCTTTTGTTCAAGTACAAGTATCTACCTTTTGTTCAAGTAAGTTATAATTTCTCACACTCTAGAAATTCCTCATTCAAGTAAGTTACAGTTACAGCTATTGGTCAAGTATTGAGTGGTGGTGATAACATTAATCCCTCTGTAGTAAATACTTCAAGTGCACCAACCCACAATAATCAGCCATGTCGATCATCTAGAGATGTTCAACTATGAAGGTTCTTTCCAATAGAATAGTGGGCATCATATGGTGAGCTCTCCCTTGAACATCATTCATTTTTCGTTGCACTCACTAAACATACAGAACCAAGTACCTACATAGACTTCACAAGAAACCCCACGTGGATTGAGGTCATGAATGAAGAATTACTTGCTCTTCATCAAAATCACACTTGAGATCTTGTACCTAGACCAAAAAAATAAGAATGTTGTTTGATGTAAGTGAGTTTATAAGATCATATACAAGGCTGATGGCACTATTGAAAGATACAAAGCGAGATTAGTTGCTAAAGGTTATAATCAAAGTATGGTTGGACTATGAAGAAACCTTTAGTCTAATTGTGAAGATGGGAATATTCAGACTAGCATTAACAATGGCTAATATCTATGTTTGGAGATTACATCAGTTAGATGTCAAAAATTCTTTTTTACATGGTGATCTCCAAAGAGAAGTCTACATGGAGTAACAACCGGGGTATGGAGAATTCAAATGGTCTGATCTTGTATGTAGATTAAAGAAAACAATATATGGTCTCAAACAAACCCCACGAGCCTGATCTGAAGGCTTCTGCAAAGGCCTTCTTATAGGGAGTTATTCTTGAAGTGTTGCAGACAACTCCTTATTTCTTAAAATAAAAGGACAAAAGCCAGTGATGGTACTTCTCTATGTTGGTGATATCATTGTAATAAGGAATGATGAGGATGAAATAAAACAGCTAAAGAAAATTTTCAGCGCACAATTTGCTATAAAAGATCTTGGAAACCTAAAGTATTTTCTAGGTGTGGAAATCGAGGGAACGAGACAAAGTATGAAATTGACACAACATAAGTATGTTAGATTTGTTAGAAAAATTTGGAATGAGCAACTGTAAACCATCATCAACGCCAATAGTCACAACAAAGAAACTATTTGCTAGAGATGGTGATCGTGTTCAAGATCCAGAAAAATTTAGAAGTCTTGTTGGTGGTTTACAATACCTTACATTCATTCGACCAGATATCACCTATGCAGTCAATCAAGTATGAAAATTTATGCATGATCCTCATGAGGTGTATCTCATAACAACTAAAAGGATTCTTAGATATGTGAAGGATACCTTCGGTGATGTTCTTCTCTTTCCCATTAGTGAAAGACAAGCTAACCTTATCACCTATTTTGATGTAGACTCGGCTAGAAATCCAGATACAAGAAGGTCGGTATCTTGGTTTTGTATTGTCTTTGCAGGATCTCTAGTGTCTTGGAGTAGTAAAATGTAAAATACTATTTCACGCTAAAGATCAGAAGCAGAATATCGAGCAATGTCTTCTACAACTACTGAAATCACTTGGTACCGCTACATTTTATCAGAATTGGGTATAAGAATTTAACATGTAATTCTATGTTTTGATAACCAGAGTGCAATAAGGCTTGCCTTAAATCTAGTTCTTCATGCACGGACCAAGCACATTGAACTGGATTATCATTTTATTCGAGAAAAAGTTGAAAGTGGAGAGATTACACCTGATTATATTTCAACTACATAACAACTTGCTGATATTTTTACAAAAGGTCTTTCTACTTCACAACATCATTCGATAGCAAACAAGTTGTCCATGTTTCACATTGACAATAGTTTGAGGGGGAGTAATAAGAATGATGATAATGATATAGAAATATACAATCATGATAAGGATTAACATGATATATTGTAATCTCTACATATGATAATCTTTTTCATATCTGTACAGATTTGTTGTAATCACATATTTGATTGAGTCAATCAAGGATGAGTACCCAACTATTATAAATAGAACCTACATCCCTCTCTATAGGGCGCAAAAACTTCCACACAAATTTTGTCCTTTAAGTTTCTTCACTATGTATAAACTTTTTGCATAGTTAAATAGTGAGTATTTTAGGTGTGCATTGACAAATTGCCAGTTTTTCAAAAAGCAATATCCATGGAGTATATATCAAGTTTAGGTAAGTAATACTTTAAAGCAAAACAATACCAGCAATATAATATAAGAACTACTATGAAGTATCAGCAGATGAGGAATCGGCCCTTGGGTTTAGGTGGTCTAGGTGGCGAATCCAAGATGCCATAGGTTTCATGCCCCCATTAACATGTCAAAAACAACAACACCATGGGAACTATCACCATTCACATGCACAATATTATGAAGTACAAAGCATCTATACATAGTGAAAGCCCTCAAACAAAACACTAACACAGTGAAAGACCACTATATGTGAAAGCCCTCAAAACAAAACTCTATGTGAAAGCCCTAAAAACAAAAAACAAGCACAAAGAGAGACCACCAGCAGTCCTAAATTGTTCGATAAGGTTCTTCATCCTTCGTGAGCATACATCATTTACCATACACTTGGAATTTGCTAGTTCATATCATAAACCATCACTGCGTAATTGGCAAAAATAGGCTTTAGGGTTGCTCTCAAATGTGCTTCGAGGAATGCAATAAGGCCTCCCTGGAGCTTTCATGGTCTTGCCACTACCCTTGCCCTTGCTTCCACAGAAATCTTTCATCAACTTGAGCACCCCACGTAAAATAGCCCGGCCTCCGCAGAAAACTATCTTCATCGCCTTGTGCACACAATATGCCGTACCAGAAAAGCTCTTATCATTAGCTGGGGCTCCAAATATACAACAAATGCCAATGCCAATGCCAATGGGGCTATCTTCAATACTGTGCCTATATCCATTTTGTCTAATCCCAATGTCACTGCCACGGCCCCGACTAAAATGAAAATGAAACTTGGTCATGAAATCAAGAAACATGAAAACTAGTATACAATGCATTTATACCATAAGGCATGTTGTCGATACTATTAATATAGATATAAAGCAAGGGTTTATATTCCATTGAAGTATCAGTTACAGTAGTAGGCATCATTGCCTGATGTAGTAAATATCAACAAACAATGGGTGATAAAGGAATCACTAAGATGTTCATGTTTGATATAAAAATTGTCCCAATCACCTATAGCTATTTAATGTAAATTAAATGCTGGGATTCTTGGAGCATAGTTACCGGGAGTGCCCCAATAGGGTGGAACTCCAACTCTAGAATCCAGATCCGGTGTTTCATAACCGGGATCTTGTTCGGAACATGATTTTTGTATTTCAGGATCTCATTCCGATGAATAAAAGGATCTCGACCCCCACATACCACGGTGGACGTTTGTGAAGATTTTAGATCCCATTCCCGAATAAATGAGGTCCTCCAACCTCGAAATTTAGGATCGCAATCCCTATGTACACGAAAGTTCATCCTTATCTAGCAATGACCAATGAGTTCTAGAATAAACTAGAACGAGATCTTGTTTATGTGGGAACGGGTTCCAGTGGTTAGTGCGCACATGAATCTTTGAGTAATGGGGTTGGGTTCTTGATACAAGTAGAGTTCTATGATGGGAGCGCAGACCAATCATGCAGAGAACACGATCCATCATTGAATAAATTTTGATCCTTTTAAATAGGAACACGATTCAACTTCAATGGGATCTCGTTTCTATTATGTATGGGAGCGTGATCCTATTGCATATGGGAACACGATCCCATTCTATAAAGACCGCGTCCCCATTAAGTAAGGATCTAGATCCCCTTGCATTGGGAATGCACTCTGCCTTCATATGGGATCTCGTCCCACTATTTTGACCCTCACTGGAACTCACTCCTTGAGAACGGGAGCTTTGAGAATCCATGGATCCGACGTTCCTGTTCCCACTTCGGAGCCAATCCTGCTCCTGCTACATGTAACTATGGTTTGGACTAGAGTTCAAATGATTGATTTGGCCAAGGTACTTGGACCTTGACCGAGGCGAGTTACTTAACCAAGTTCATCTCATGGTTAAAAAAAAAAAAGGGGAATAACAAATGTAATAAGTTTTATAGATGTTAAGATACCTATACTTATAATGAGTACTCAAGTAGGGGCCTCAACCCCCTCAACAAGTGGTTGAGGCATCAAATCGTGGTTGTGATTGTGTATATTTTGTAATGAAACAAGAAACCACTTTTAATTTTTTAATTAAATCATGGTGCTTACTTTTTTAATTAAAAAAAAAAAAACCCACTTTAATTGTTTAATTAAACTATTGTATAAGTGCGCTTTTTTTTTTAATGAAAACAAAGAACCCCACTTATTTTTTTTATTAAATCATAATGGTGCTTACATTTTTAATGATTAAAAAAAAAGGAACCCTAATTGTTTAATTAAACTATTGATCCTGTAAAAGTTAATTTTTAAAAAAATAAGATAGGGCTTTTTTTTTATTTTTAATAAAATAAAAAAGGTCTACTTTTTAATAAAAAATTAGATCATGTCTGAGAGGATTGGCATACATAATAGCCAACAAATCATTTAGACATTGAATGAATCGGATACATAATATATATAACTCGACCTTGCCCACGCCAAGTCCTAGTTTCTTCGGTTGATTCCATAAACATTGGTTTGGATGTTTTAGTACATCCAATGTCACACCTCCCATTTCTGCTTCGTCTCATCTTGTTAGTGAGGGGTGATTCTCATGCGCCGCATTTAATACCTAGTGGTAGGGGTGGCAATTAACCAGAACCCGGACATGACCTAGGACCTGATGACTGAACTCAACCCAGGTCTGGTATGGGTCCAAAATTAGACCCGAACAATACTCCGGTTCAGGTTCCATCCATGTAGACCTGACCCAAATAGTGTTAATATTTAAATAATATTTGATATATAATATTTAAAAAATAATATATAAATAAATATAACTATATATTTTAGTCATAGTATTTAAATATATTTATATTTTTTATTTTTGGATCGGGTCCAATCAGATCCAGCCAGGTTTGAGTCTAGTCAGGTCCGGATCCAATTCAGATAACTTCCAAGTCTGGATTCACATCCCATAAATTTTTTCGGGTCTAGGCCTGGGCACGACACGACCCGACCCGACCCCTAGCCTGTGGTGATCGTAACCTTGTAGAGAGTAGATAGTCTTATTGTATGCTTTTCTTATTTGAAAAATGTTATGCATACTATAATGGCCATTCTAATAATGAAGGTGCTCGACAGCTATGACATATCAAAATAGTTGATGGTGATGGACAATTCCTTAGTGTTGCTTACTCAAATAGACGAACAATTCATTTCCACCATCTCCATTCATAATGGGATTTGTTGATATGAATCATGGAACCATCAATCTCAGTATTAGATGGTGGAGATGAACTATTCATAAGTGTCGATTACTCAAATAGAGGAACAATTGATCTCCACCTTGTATACCGAAAATGGAAGGTGGAAACCCCTTTTGGTGAATATTAAAATAACTAAAACTACTCTCCTGAATCATGAAGTAGAACTACTCTGATGAAACAAATAATAGAATAACAAATTATGATTAACCATTTTTCGAAGGGTGTGGTTTTCATAAGATGGCAGCCTTGTAGAACAACCTTCACATAAAATGAATGGTCGAGGTTGATTCACTTTTAGTTCTACATGTAAGGTTTTATATAGGTTTGCTCCTCCTTTTTATTATAATATGATGAAAACTATGAAATAAATAAGATGAAATATATAATTTTAAAAAAGGGTTATGCTAGGGTATTAATACATATGGGTATTGCATGAGTGTACTCACCATTTTTTGATACTCACTTCCCCTTATTTTGTAATATATTTTTTTTCTAATAAGGCAAGAAATATTTTTAAGGCCAAAAAAAGGCTCCAAACCATTTAGCCAAAATGGTAGAAAAATGATGTAAAAAAGGAAACCGAAGAAGAAGAAAAATCACTTTTCTTTGGGTAGGATCAGGGATAGAAAGTGCGACTTGAATTGAGTAATCAGTCCTGGCTGAGTCGATTACTCCGGCCTAGTGGAAGTGACTCGATCTGACTAGTGTTGAGTGCTATAGCGTCAAAAAATTATAAAAATATAAAAAATTTCAAAAAATAGAAATATATTTTTAAAGTAAGATTAAAGCAAAACACTTTAAAATGATGTTAAAAAAAGTAATAAAAATATAGATTCTAGAAATCAAGTTGTGAGTGGGGGTATTTTTCGAACTAATCCAAAAAAATACAAAATGTAGGAAACCCTTTCTAATTTTTGCCAAAATGATAGAAAATATATAAAAAATATACCAAATAAATTTTTTATTTTTTAGGATTTTTATATATTTTTTGAATTTTTTTTAATATTCCCGTGTTTGACAGGAAAAAGCTAAGGCCCAAGTCGGGAAAAGAAGAAGAGAGTTCCAAAGGAAATTCTGTGCCAGAAGTTAAGCAACATAAAATTTAAAAATCCTCTAACAATAAATTATTTTAACGATATTTCAATCAATCAATTTAAAAATGTAAAACAAATTGCAAATTTCATCTGCAATGAAATTTTTCTTTTCGTTTAGATCATTTAACTTGCCTTAGTGTTTAGTATCTTGACTCTTTTGATGAATTTTTGCCAATCGTTTTCAAAAAATTTCTGTATGAAAATGGGTAACTATATTTTAAATTTTTTTGAAAGTATCAATCCATAAACGATGCAGTGTACGTATATTTCTACCCCTCTAAAGAAGCCAAAAGAATTAACTGGTAAACCCATTCAACTTAAATAAAACAAATTGATTTTTCACCTTGATCAGCCAGCAATTGGCTCTTAACCTTGCCTTCTCTCGGTAAATCTGCTACTTTCTCATGAGCAATAGGCATGGCATCTCTCACTGCAGAGGCTACTAAATTCGCCCTGGCCATCCCTTCTTTCACTAACTCTTCAGCTTTGGGCATGCTTTCTCTCACTGCAGAGGCCACCAAATTTGCTCTTTCCTTTCCTTCTCTCATTAAATCTTCAGCTTTGGGAACGCCTTTTCTCACTACACCACCCAAAAAATCTGTGAAGCTTCCCATGAAATCACCATTTTCCTTCAACATTGTCACCTTTTCTTCAACCTTCTCTTCTACAATCCTCTTATATAGAGAGAAGAAACCCTATGTTGATATTCCCCTTGCTGTTTTACTTTTAGGGAAAATTGTAAAAAAAAAACCAAAGGTAGGCTTTCTAAGCAAGTTACCCGACCTAACTTTTCCCAACTTCCGCCCAAAAAACCATATTTTTTAGCAAATACCTCTAATACAAAAAATTTATTTATTTTTGGGCGAAAATGCCCTTCTTTTACCTATGGAATCAATTTCGCAAGAGAAGGCGGTCCAGCATTAGGAGAGGCGGTTGGGCGATTATTTGACTGGAGGCTGTTCTGCGTTACATTGTGATGATCCGGGGACTATGTTATTGGAGAAATGGACAGTCTGGCGTTTTGAAATAGCCATCGGCATTTTGAAGAGGCAGTCTGGCGTTTTAAATTGGGGTTTGGCATTTTGAAGTGACATCGGGCATTGTACAAATGCGGTTGGGCATTTCTTTTTATTGAGATCTAAAAATAATTTGTTATATATAGGTAGGGTATTTTCATCAAAATAAAAAAATTGTGGGTATTTGTTAGGAAACATGATTTTTAGAAAGAAGTTATTTGGAAAATTTTGGTTAGAGATAAATTGATTAGAAATTCCATTTTAGGAGATTTTATGCAATTTTTCCTTACTTTTGTGTGAAGTACACCTCTGCCATCATCTCAATTTTTGCTGATTATAAAATTAAAGATGCAGTTTGCATAGTTCTGAGGCTCTAAACGAATAGAGCGCATCCTTCAAATGGTGTCAATAAATATGGTTTTAATACTAAAAATCTTTGTCGTTGTCTTAAATTATATATTTTTAATTATAAAATTTAAATCTTAAAAAATAGTGTAGATCGATTAGATTTATGAAAATTTGAAAATTTTGAAAATTGATGGTCAAAAAATACATTACAAGATACATTATTTACAAAATTTGGAAATCCATTTATTTTTCATGTTCATACATCTTGATGTCAAGATGAACAATTTCAAAATATTTTAAGCATCAAAACAACCTCTTTTTGTGAAATTTTTGAGGTACGTACTGTTTGTTTGTTTAAAGCCTTGGTTCTATATAACCTAAAACTGAATATGTTTCTTTGGGAGGAGAAAATTGTTGAAAGCGGGTACAAAAGTAAGTAAGCCAAGGGGGGTGCATTGGGGATGCACGCGGCTATAACTAGGGGATGCTCATGGGCTTTTTTAGTGTTTGGAGAACAGTGGTCTCTCGTGAGAGATGAGGGACGAAAGCTCATAGTGAGCATTGTAGGCCCTCTTTTTAGGTCTTGTTTAATAGAGAGAGTCCTAGTTTATGTCTTAGTTTAGAGAGAAAATGTTGTTGTAATTTGTCATTTTGGGTCTCATTACTCTTGCAATCTTTATTGTATCAATAAGTAAAGTCTCACAACATTCTCATACGTAGATTTAGTTCACAACTTATAATTGAACCACGTTAAATTTTTTTAGATTTTTTTTATTTTCATTCGTGATGTTGCTTTGATTCTATATTTGATGTACAATAGTTATTAATAAAATATCCCTTGCTGTATATTCACCATCATACATCTCAACCAGTGTTCTCAAAACTAGCCGGTTAGAACCGGAACAGGTAGGTTAGATGGCTACCAGTGGGGTGGCGAGACCGGTTAGGGCCGGTTTTGCAGTACACTTCATTAGTCGACCCTCTCCAAAAAAAACCGGCACCAAAATTGGCTGGTTCAATGTCGAACCGGTAGTTTTTTCTCAAAATCGGCCGGTTTACCTAACCGGTCCGGCTTACCCATTTTATCGCCCTATATAACAATATAACGGTAATGCCAATATCATTATCGAAAAATCAATTTTTCTAAAAAAAAAAACTATTGTGTAATAAAATTAGTTTTTTTGATGAATATGGGAGCTATTTTGCTTGAATGATTATGACTTTTTAATAAAAATTTGTTTTTTTTATGAATATGGGAAGTGTTTTTTTTTTTATTTGGCTTAATAAAATTATTTTTAGTAGAACTATGATTTTTTAATAAAATTGAGTTTTTTGATGAATATGGGAAGTGTTTTTTATTTTGCTTAATAAAATTATTCATTTTGATAAAATTATTTTTTTGATAAATTTGATTCTTCTTTTTGATAAGTGCATGATAATGTTGCTCGATTTTTATGAATTATGTTTTTTTAGGTGCATGATATAGTTATATTTGTAATGATGGAAATGGGATATTTTGTTTTTTTAAGTGCATGTAAACATTTTGGTTGCTTTATGTTCAATGAAACACTACACCATCTTGTATGTGCTTGCTTCTTTTTCTCTTTTTTTTTTTTATTCATTTTCTATCAAGGTTTTTGGATTTTTATGGAAAGAGCCTTTAAAAGATCAACCGATTTTAAAAATTCGATCGACTAACTTGGGATCGGTCACTGGCCGATCTCGATCTGGCCCAATTCCAGAGAGAGAGAGAGAGAGTTTACAAAGGTGATCTTAATTTCAAAGCATCCCTCACATTTTGAGAAATTGATTTTTCTAAAAACAGAAATCATTTTGTTTAGTTAAATTTTTTTTTTTTTTTTAATCATTATGGGAAGTTTTTTTTCCATATTGCTTAATAAAATTATCTTTCTAATAAAATTATGTTTTTTAGTAAACAATTATGTTTTTTTGATAAATATGGGAACTATTTTTCTATTTCACTTAACAAAATTATTTTTTTGATAAAATCATGGTTTTTTAATAAAATTATGTTTTATGATGAATATGGGAAGTGGTTTTCCATTTTGCTTAGTAAATTATTTTTTGATAGAATTATGGAGTTTTAATAAAATTATGTTTATGATAAATATGGGAAATGTTTTTCTATTTTGCTTAATAAAATTATTTTTTGATCAAATTATTTGTTCTACTGTTCATATTTTTTGATAAAATCAATGCACAACACACTGATATGGATATGGTAGATACATATAAGAGCAATAGAACATATCAGTATGTAGTGCATTGATTTTTCATTTTGTTGCATATCATGAGATGTACTTTTTGTGAAGTATGCCTTATTTAACTTCATCAAAAAAGTATTGTATGAATTATGCTTTATCTAACTATATGGAAGAGGTCTCCTTGTCTTAATTAGTTGGTATTTTTATTTGATTTAATAGCATCACACTACTTTTGTTATTTGCCAAACAGTGCATAAACTTTCAATCCTAATGTGAGCGATTCTTGTACATAAAAAACTAGAAAGTTTTCAATGTAAGATTTGGGATGAATATGTTAATTCTTGGAAAAATATGTTACATGACAAACATATCTTCAAAAAATATCCTAAGATATTTTCATATACAGGACCATAGTATACAAATATTAATTTATAAAAAGTTGTTTCAATTTTTTTGGTAAGATAAATATATGTTTTAAGATATTATACACTTAATATAAGTATTTACATTTTATTTTATTTTTTTAGGAGTTTTGGACCCATTTTTTTTTTAAAAAAATCTACTTGATCAGTTAGTCCGGTTAACACCCCGGTTGGTCCGGTTCCGGTTCAAACCGCTCCTAACCCCATGTCCGATTAACCATTCCAGTTCGATTTTATGAACACTGATCTCAACACAATAAGTGTATACCCAATGTTAAAAAAAAAGAAGCCAATCTCGAATCCGAATTGACGGATCCAGATGAGGAATTATCTGGGACGAACTGGTTTCCCATGAAATATTGGGAACCACACTAGTCCTGGCACATTTTTTAATAGAGCCGGTTGGAAAGTTTATTTTATATATATATTTTTAGATTGTTGACATGTGGATCGCATTGTTGGATCAATGATCCATATTGAGTTTGGATAGGTCCGAATTAGGGATAAAAACATTAAAATAACTAAACAATTAAAGTTAAAATTGGAGTCTATGGGATGGGGATTTTTAAAAAAATATAAAGAAACATCAAATAAGCTTAATAAAAAAAGTAAACAAAATATATAGGAAGCGTTTTTTTTATAGAAAACTAATTTAAAGAGAAAACCAAAAGTGATCCCCAAGCCTTATTCGAAATTTAAGGTAAAGGTTGTCACATCATATGTAGCATAAAAAATATTATTCGACACGGGTCTTTCTAACCTTTTAGATGGGAGGTGGACATGCATCACTTTTTGTGAAGCAATGATCTCCACCGTCCATTTTGCAGAACTAACATTGCGGACTGCTAAGTGGAATGGGTCATCAGTAATAGAAGCAAGCTCACTTTCGAAAGGGGCTGTCAATTTCTATAAGATGGACTGTCATGTTCTCTAGTGGCGACAGAATAAAGGTATCATTTGATACGAATGATGTCTTGAGTATAAGCATTATCAGAATCGAATCGCTTTTTGTACGATCGATAAGACTGGTTCACTTGAAATTAGTGTTGTCAGATTCGTTTCAGACTACTCTTCAATTTAATCGGAAAAATTAAACAATTGTTCACCGTTTCAAGTTTAACAATTCAGATGAAGGCTTTGGAATTTTTAAAATATTTTAATATAAATAAAATATATTTTATATAAAAATATATATTAAAATGATAAAACTTTTAAAAATAATAATTCAAAAAAATGAAAAATACTATTATGTGTTTCTACTGAAGAGGACATATTAAATAGAAGCAGACCCAAACACATAATTGTCTTTTTAAAAAAAGCAAATATGTGATTCAGCTGAAGAGGCAAAAACTTCGGCTAAAAGGCCAAATCAAACTGAAACAAACTGAATGGGGTGTACTGGAGCTTCGCTTCACTTCACTTCACTTCAGTTTAGTTTAGGCAAAAAACATGAAGACTTCTACCTCTTTGGCCAAAGTGAAGTGAATATAATAACATTACTTAAAAGTGGTCCAACCGATAGTCAGACTCCTTTTATACATGTGGCCAAAATTCTTATATAAAAGTAATGAATAATTGTTTCATACGGGTTGGACTTCATTTGTACAATATTCGGTCCCCATCTTAAATATGGGTGCAAATAGGTCGTCCATCCAAAAACCATAGCAACAAATGGTCAAAATATTTTTTAATATGATTATTATTATTTCTATTTTTAAAATTTTATTTAGTTATTCATATCATGATCTCCATATTAAAGATTATATATTATTTAAAAATAAGGATCAAATTATATTTAAAAAATATATTCATTGCCAAGCCTACATTTCTACATGTGTGAGATGGGGCCTTGCTATACTTCCCCTACAACATAAAAGGTCTATGCTTCCCCTACCATCCAGCCGTCCAATTTTGATCAAGTGAGTCACTCACCATTTGATCTTAGATCTTATGTCTCAGAGTATTTTATTTT